ACGGTTCCTATTGATAATATAATGAAAGTGAGCAATTACATAATATGTATCATGTAAAATAATATCAAAAGATGAATTTGCTAAAACAACTCCAGTTAATCCTCCAACTGTGAATAAAAATACAAATCCTAAAGCTCTTAGAATAGCAGGTGAATAAGAAAGTTATGTGTTCCATGAAGTGTAGCAAGTAAACTAAAAATTTTAATACTTGTGGGTACCGCAATAATTAGTGTTGCTGATAAGCTCGGGTATCTACGTCTATCCCAACCGTAAATATATGGTGAGCTCATACAATAAATTCTAATAATCTAATTGCTAGTATTGCGTAAATTATTCCTAAAGATCCAAAAGTTTCCTTTTTACCTGATTTTTGACTAATAATATGAGAAATCATTCCGAATCCAGCTAAAATTAATATATAAACTTCTGACAAAAAAATCAGAATTAATGTTGGTATAGAATTGGGTCTCCTCAACCGGGAGGGTCAAAAAATAAGTGTACATATTATTTGTGCAAAGTCCTAATGTATGTAACAGGCAGAAGGAAGCACCTCATAAGGTATATATATTCTTGATCAGCATCAATAGCCGAATCGATCTAGCCATGTCCGTCTGTCTGTCCGTCCGTCCGTATGTATGAACGCAAGGATCTCAGAGCCTATTAGAGCTAGAAACTTGAAAATTAGATGTAGGTGAGCTAGTTGGAAGAAGAAGGTTCAGGGTATCCCCTCGTCGGAAGCTCCCGACTAGAACCTCTTACTTGTTTAAAAATAAAGTGGAATGGCAAAAGATAAATACCGAATTAATTGATATTATAGAAAAATTCGACAAATCATACAGGTGTTTAGCACAAAATAGGAATACTTCTAATGAGACTATAAGTTGACACGCAACAACACTTGTTGCATGTTTTCACCAAGCACGTTCACTGATACACGACAATAAAGAAAAATTAAATACCCAACATTGGTCGTAATCAAGACTTTTGCATAGGCTGAAAACAAACCTAAATAGCATTTAATCATGATATACACTAGACAGCAATACCTTCGATTTTGAATACCCCAGTATTAGTTGAAGAAGATACAAACACAGACATAAAGACATTAAGCGATTCTGAAATCGCAAGCGGTCCAGACAAATATTTAAGAGGAGAAGATCTACACGATGTTACGATACAAGCGGTAATCACTTTACCCGAGCTATCTGAGTCTGAACAAGACTTTGGAATAGAAGACAAAACTGTAAATATGGCCCTGACGCAAGTAGAATTCCTCATACTAACCTTTTCACTCTACCTGAGATTAGTGGAAAGTCTGAGAATTTACAAGTTTTCATTGATGCTTTTAATTTAGTAGATTCACTAAAAGGAACACATGAAACTACAGCACTAAGCCTAATAAAAAGTGGACTCAAAGGCCATGTTCGAAACCTTATCAATACAGAACAAACAATTATGATATAATAAAAGGCGAATGAGCTAAAGCTTTATACAAGCAAAAGACAGCAAGTCAACATATTCAACAAGTTGAACTGTTAACAAAGGATTTGCAAGCAGTACATATGGTAATCGGTGAATCGCTGAAGAACTAGCCTACAAGTTGCTGAAATATCCAAACAAACTGCACAATTGACGAAGTTGGGTCTGTAATGAAATCACGAAATTTTCATAGCATGACTGAGGTCTTTGTCTTTGTGGATAGCTGCTCAGACACAATAGGACATCCAAACAGTCCTATACGCTGCGCAGCATCAGAGAAATATACCCAGCCAAGCCAATAACCGCGGAAACAACCGCGGAAATTACCAATATAATGGTAATAGGTGACAATAATAATGGCAGCAATGGACAGAGAGGCCAATTTAGACGAAACTCTAGAGGACGTGGTAACTCAAGCAGAGGTCAAAACAATAACAATAACGTGAGAGTTGCCCAAAATACTTTGGGAAAGACCCAATAGCGCTTAGGTACACAACAATAGATATTAAAAAGTAAGAGGCTCTAATCGGGAATTCCCGACTAGGGAATACCCTGAACCCTCTTATTCCAACACCAAATAAATTTCAAAAAATATTCCATTGGCCGGCCTAAACTCGAAACTGCCTGCATTACTTGCTGTCGACTCTACTCAACAGCCATACCAATAATTAAGTGCTTATGATAAAAAGGAACTTAAATAGCATTACAGAAAAAAGACGAAAAAACCGAAATTACCATGCTGTCAGAATGCGAAGCAGACGCGCATGAATGTGTGTGTGTATAAGTATACAGAAAATCCTGAAGCTGCTCCTCATCCAATAGCGTAGTCGCATATAACTTTGGTGAACTTTATGAAATTTTCTACAGTATATCCTATTGTACCATAGAATATTTGCTTATTCTGAAAAATTCAATTACATTTGAATTGTGGCTTAAATTGGTTGGCAATAAATGTTGAGTTATTAACTTGATTTATAGCTGTGTAGTGTAAGCGGGGAGGTGGAGATATGTGTAAAATGAAAAATACTTAACATATATATAATACTTTAGAAGCTACATGTTTGATTATTCTAGCTCTTCTTATTTACCCAATTTGCTCAAAAAACAGGATGTCGATATCGATTTTTATCGTTTGCTTAGACACGGAGTAAGTTATTGATTATCGGAAACAAACTCGATCTGCGCAGGCACTAGGAGCACCTACTTCTAAAATTTCTAAAATTTCTCTAACTCTTATAGGTTCTGAGATCCTTGCGTTCATACATACGGACGGACGGACTGGCAGACGGACACGGCTAGATCGACTCGGCTATTGATGCTGATTAAGAATATATATATTTTATGGGGTCGGAGATGCTTCCTTCTGTCTGCTACATACATTTGCTTTTACACAAATACAATATGGCCTTTCTTTCCATTTTCAATGGGTTCAGGGTTTAAAAAGGTTCATTCGGTTAATCTTAATGAAAATATATTCGTAACATTCGAAAATGTAAATAAAGGCAAGGAACTAATATTTTTGATATATACTGGTGCAGATATATCTTTGTTCAAAGAAAGTTCCGACCCTTTCAATGATATAGACGTTAATAATCAAGTTAATATTCAAATCAATTAAGCATTGATTCAATCCAAAGGACTAACATCTTTAGAAATACAAGCAACTAAATATTTAATTCCCCACAACTTCCATATTGTCGTTTGAATTTTTTCTGTACCGTGTGATGGAATTTTAGGCATAGATTTTATTAAAAAATATAATTGTCAATTAGATTTGACACCTTCAAAAGATCTGCTCATAACTTACAGCTCCGCTAACATCCGACATCCGAAGTAGTCCGAAAAATCGAGCTAGCTTCAAATAAAAATAACATTCTTATTCCGAACCAGGAAATTCATCCCGGTATATATGCAGCAAACACAGTCGTGTTCTATGTTCATATTCTATGTTTCTATGTTCTATGTTTATATTATTGTGCACTCGTGAATTATATATTTTTTAGATGTATACCAAGAAATAATACTACACTCGAATTTAACTTTTAATTTTGCGTTTATTCGTACTGGTTAGATTTGTGGTTTTCTTAAAAGTGAATTATAATTCTAAGACAAAAGAGTGCAAAGGCTCAGTTGGTGATTTGGGGCTATTGTTTATAGAGAGCGCCAAGCAGAGAAGCTGCAGAGAGCAACTGAGGCTTTGTTTTATGTTTCGCCATAGCCACTTAACAGAAATTCTGCGAGGCTCTGGGCTGATTGATTAGGAATTGTTTATAAAAAGTGGTCACCATTAGTGAAGCTGTTGTGGCGATTTAACTGAATTAATAATGGAATCTATTTCCAAAGAAGTTGCGTCGCATTTATGTGTCAAAATATTTTATAACACTTAGATCTTCAAGAGTTGGATTGTGCTTACATTAAATTGGATTTTAGTCCAGCGGATACAGGGCTTACAAGCTCAACTGGTTTGAACTCGACATTATATTGGTGTGAATGGGGTGGTGCCGTCAAGGCCGTAATTCTTCCCCTTTAAGTATAAACATATCAAAATGATTGCAGCTACAAAGATTAATAAAAAATATAGTGAATAACCCATATGTTATTTTTTTTCGAATCTTAGCTCTGTTGTTTCTTTTAAATTTTCAAAATTTGGTTGGATAATAAAACCTGTCATAGTATTTAATTTTTTCGTTGGAAAATGTTTATTCTAACAATTCAATTTCACAGTTTACAAACTGAATTAAGCTATTTCCATTCTTCCAACTTGTGATATTATATATGAAATTCAAATTGTTATAAATAGTACAGATTTCTCTTGATTTTAATTATTTAAATATTGAGTTTTGCTTGTAGTCGTATGTTATGTTTTCTGTTTCTACTTCAAATGGTTTTATAAGCTAAAAAAACGAGTTTTCGTATAATATCGTTACACTCGAAAAGTGTAATTTTTCTTATTTTTTCAAATATTTTAAAACCTATGAACATTTAAATGCCTATGTTATTATATAATGTTGCTTTCATATACATTTTCGAAAATAAAGCATTACTATACTTCTAAGATTACTCAAACAAAAAAAAGTTAAGAAATAAAAAGTTTCGTATAATTTCGTTACGCACCTTATATATGCACTTGATGTTGGAAGAAGAGGGTTCAGGGTATCCCTTGGTCGGGAGCTCCCGACTAGAACCTCTTAATGGTTAATAATAAAGTTGATAAAATAATTATTGAAGTAAATGAATTATTAATTTCAATTGTTATTCTATTGTTTAATATTAATAAAATTACTGAAAATAATAAAACAGTTGAGGCTAAAGCTTAGGTTAAAAAATATTTTAAAGAAGCTTCTGTTCGCAGTAGAAAGCCCTCTGAATAATATTTTATCTGAATTGCAACATATCTTTACTTCTCAAATCACGATATTGAAGTCACATACTATTATTTTGAAAACACCATAAAATACCATTGTTAATAACTCATTACTAATCTATCGATAGTTATTGTTGAAAGTTCGGGAAGTCAATCACGCATTACAAGCAATCTAAAGGCTCCTTTGATTTTTTTTGAAATTTATAAAACATAAGAGGGGCCGAAGTGGGGTGAAAACTAGCATCTCCTCAAAACAAACAAAACCCCGACGTGATATTTCTTTCTTGCTTCTCGTCTTGCCGCAAATCTTTCATTCGTTGTTCATCGCTCTTTTGCTGCTGCAGAATAGGCACTAAACTCATGTACACACCGCACACCGGCTCGAGTGCGCGCATCTCTCTAACGATCTTATCGTGTTATTTAGCAGATCGGCTAATATAATCAAGCTGTTTGGTGCATACAAGCATAACCGTTTGCTTAGAAAAGAAGCCGTCGAGCAGATACCTATATACTTACATACATACATATGAATGTGAATGCAAGTGCCGCCTTAATTGATCTCGCTACATACACATACACAAGCCGCTGCACACATAAGACGGTAATCGCATTCTCGCACTGCTCACTCTGTGATATTCGCAGTGGTCAAGGGCATAGCTCTTCTCTATAAGTGAATTTTTGTGACAGGCCGGAGTACAGTGAGCAATCAACAAAACGTACCAACCGAACATTACCTCGTCAACAACAGAATGGAAAATTCGACAAGTGAAAAAGACTTTTGTAAAGCCAAATGCGCTTCTGTTCAACGCCAATTATTAGCAATGAACGAATTCTTCAGCCGATCCGATGGTGCGTAAAGAATCTGCGGAGAGCATGAAGGCCGAGTTTGATATCAGCCAGTCAAGGCTACAAAAATCTAGTAGTAAAGCAGCTCCAACTCAAAATTCATCATGCTGCCGTATCAGTATCTGGTATAGGCGAATCAACCCTATCTTCTAACATGTCCACTGACATATCAGCGCAGTCACGTGACAGGAGCTTCAGCACATCATTTTCAGCAGCCGTTACTCGCAGTATAACGGATTATCAACCCCACTTTGGGTTAGGCATCTCTGGGTGGAATATCCCCAAAAACTAATTCGCTCGCGGATCCAACGTTTTTCACGTATCAAAGAATAGATTTATTACTTGGTGCCGGACTATTTTTCGATCTCATTTGCATCGGCCAAATTCGAATGGCGGATAACCTACCAACGCTCTAAAAGACCAAGCTCGGATGGATTGCGTCTGGCGGGCTCTCTCGCGTACACAACAAACACACATCCCTTTCAGCCCTTTACAAGGAACCTAATCCATGGGAGAATCCACTGTCAGATATTGTAAAACGATTCTGGGAAGTCGACAATTGCTGCGGTACAGCCCCTGCGCTCTCTGATGAAGACGCTATTTCTGCAAGGCTCCACGCGACTAAAGTCACTGCCCAGTTAGGCTTCCAGCAAAGCTCAGCTTCGACACGCTAGGAGACTCATATCAACGTGCTCTATGACGTTTCTAGTCGCTCGAAAACAAATTGGACATAAATCACTAGCTGAAGGAGAGCCACTCTGCATTCATGTGCGAATACATCGACTTGGGCCAAATGTCTTTGGCTTCCAAGCAGCAGCTTGTCCCACAATTATATTTACCCCACCACTGCGTAGAAAAGATATATGAGATCATACCTGACCAGAATCTCAACCACCATATTGCGCGTCGTTTTTGATGGATCAGCCAAATCCACATCAGGCGCATCTCTGAATGATCTTTTGCATACAGGCCAATAGGCAATTCAACCCAAATTATTCAACATTCTAATTCATTTTCGTTTTTTAAAGGTTGCCATGTGCGGTGACATCTGTAGGATGTACAGCTGTGTCCGAATAACGCATCCAGATCAATTTCTGTAATGCATCTTATGGCGTGAAAAAAATGAAAGCGGACGTACACCCTGGATACAGTAACGTATGGAACCAAACCCGCTGCGTTTCTAGCAATTCGAGCGATGCAGCAGCTGGCCCACGATGAAGAGCCTACCTTTCCACTAGCTGCAAAGATATTTTGTCTCGACTTCTACGTAGACAATTTAATTTCTGGAGGGTGCTCTGCAGAAGAAGCCATTCAGATCCGACAGCAAGTATAACTGCTACTGTCTAAAGGTCGCTTTCTAATCAGAAAGTGGTACTCAAACGAGCCAGATGCATTAAAAGTAGAAAGCGAATCCGATTGTGAGAAGCTAATGGAGTTCAAGGATGGCACCAACATTGCAAAGGCGCTTGCTTTAGCTTGCAGCCCTATCTCTGATAGCCTGCTTTTCAACTTTGCGGAGATCGTACCCGAAGGATCAGTCACAAAGCGGAGCATATTATCCATGATAGCGAGATTTTACGATCCGCTCGGATTGATCGCGCCCATCGTTACCAGGTTAAAGGTATTTCTCCAAGCACTGTGGAAGGAAAGGGTCAATTGGGACGAATGCCTGTCGCAGTCGCTGTACCTCGAATGGATCAAACTCATATCGCAACTCTCATTTGTCAGCAGCTTGAAATTCTCCCGTTTTGTATTGATACCGCTGGCTACGTATAAGCTGCATGGATTTTGCGACGCCAGCACAGCCGCTTATGGTGCTTGCGAATTTGTCAGATCCGAAATGAAAGGGGTATAAATCAAGGGTCGCTCCATTAAAGACGCGGACAATCCCAAAGCTTGAGGTGGCAGCTGCACTTTTATTATCAGAGCTCATAGGAAACATTGCCAAGTGCAATCAGTTCGAATTCAGATATCATTGCTGGACCGACTCAACAGTAGCGCTTGCATGGATTCGTGATTCACCTTCAAAGTTTAACGTCTTTGTAGCCAACAGGGTATTACAAATACAGGAGCGGTCAAAGGGTATGACCGGGCATCATGTGCCCTCTCAGCTGAACCGTGCGGACATTTTATCACGTGGCATAATGCATAATGCACAGCTATGGCATAATGGACCCCCATTCTTACAGGCCGCCTATCCCTTTAAGCTTCCAGAACAACGCCAAAAAGTGCTGGTACTATCAACGAAGACGGACCTATCGGCATCTTGTAAATGCAACAACACATTTGCCAAGTTACAGCGCACTTTCGCATATGTGTATCGATTTATAGCGCTAGAAAGATCTGATTCGACGAGATCAAAAGGTCCACTCACTCCAGATGATATCAAGTGCGGAACGCATTTACTTATAAAAAACATTCAACTTACGCACTTCGCCGAAGGCCGCTTCCAACAAGAAGCAAACTTCGTTCATTGCGCCCACTGTTGGACGCTGAGGAACTCTTGCGCATCGGCGGGCGCCTTCAGAACTCAAACTTGGAATATGAAGCAAGGCATCCGTTATTGTTGCCTAAACGCCGCCCAGTCACCGCAGGTATGATCACATATCATTTGGTCCGCAATTCCTTCTAGCAACACTCCGCCAGCGATACTGGCCCATCGGAGGTCTCAAGGCTGTCTCAAATATCAACAGGTGCGTGCGCTGCGACCTAAAGTCATGGCCCCGCTACCAGCTGAGCGTGTGCAGCCAAGCCGACGTTTCACGTAACTGGCATCGACTTTTGCGGTCCTTTCTAATCAGAGGTCAGAAATCGCTCACCAACGAAATGCTACATCTTAATTTTGATATGCTTTGCAGGACCTGTCCACGTCATCGTTTATCGCTGCCTTGAAGAGATTCATCAGCCTTCGAGGGAAACCGCATACAAAATGGACAGACAACTCCACAAATTTCGTGGGTGCTCGTAATGAGGTGAAGGAACTGCGCGACCTGTTTATAAGCGATCCCCAGCGGAATGATTGTTCGCAACTGCCTAGCTCTGGGAATTAACTGGTAATTCATTCCGCCCCGTTCGTTGGAAATTCTCTTCTCTCATTCCACGAATTCCGAACCCTCATCTGTCAAATATCCGCAATGCTGAACTCAAGACCGCTCTGTTTTATTACAGAAAACCCGAATGACTTGGAGATACTCACGCCTGGGCACTTCATCTGGGGCAAAGCCAATGCAACTATCGACGAGCCAGACATAACTCACCTAAGCATAGGTCGCCTCAGCCGTTGGCAGCGAATATGTCACATGCTGCTCAAGGAGGACAATGCACCACCACTCAGGTGGTCGCTTGGTCGAGTCGACGGCATCAACACGGGTGACCACGGCATTCTGAGAGTAGCAGTCATTCGTACACAAGAGAGCCATTGCCAACATCGCCGCTCTGCCAGTCGAGACCACATCGGTTGAAAGCTTGTATCTTCCAATGGGGCGAGCATGTTCGTAGCGGATCGCCCTCTGAATAATATTATATCTGAATTACAACATATCTTCACTTCTCAAATCACGATATTAAAGTCACATACTATTATTTTTATACCACCATAAAATACCTTTGTAAATTGCTCATCACTAATCTATCGATAGTTATTGTTGAAAGTTAGAGAATTAAATCACGCATTAAAAGTAGTCTAAAGGCTCCTTTGTTTTTTATTAAAATTTATAAAACATAAAGGGGGCCGAAATGGGGTGCATCTCCTCAAAACAGCATCAGTTGATTTAAAATTATTTTTATCTCTTTTTGGGGGAATAAAAGATAATAAATTAATTCCTAAACCTATTCATGGTCCTAACCAAGAATTAGAGGTTACTGTACTTATTGTTCCAATAATTATTATTGTAATAAATAAAATTTTTGAAGAATTATTAAAAATTAAAATGAAAAGAATTAAAACCTTTATAATTGGGGTACGAACCCAGTAGCTTAATTAGCTTAATTTTTTATATTTTGTATGGTGTACGATGCACTAAAGTTTTTGATACTTTTAGTAATAGTTTAATTCTATTTAATATAAAATCTTTCTACAAATAATAATAAAACCAATCAATGAATGTAGAATTCTACATAATTTACCCTATCAAGGTAATCCTTCTTATCAGGCAATTCATTTACAATAAAATCCCGTCTATTTTTTTTGTTGTAGTTTACTAATATTTTTTAAAAAATATTTGAATTTTTTATTATTATATTTATTCTAATTAAATAATACATTTTAGTAGTAAATTTAATTTAATATGTTTTTGTTTATAAATATTTAAAGTTTCTAGATATATATTTTATAATATATTATCAACAAAATATAAATATATAAATATATAAATATATAATAATTTATAGTATTTATTATTATTAATTATTAATTTACATAAATCAAAAGAATCATTAGATAAATATTTAAAATATAGATATTTTTTTACCGTATTTGTAATTAATTTTTGATTGCGAATTTTTTTATTTAAATTGTTAATTATATAATAATACATTAAATAATACATTATATAATAATACATATATATATATTTAGTGACATATCCATAGTCGCACCCACCCTTTACCACAACTTAGCACATTAGCATAAGCACAAGTATAAACATTTCTAGTATTGTAAACAAAGAGCCTGGCGATAACATCGACATAGGTCAAGATCAAACTTTCCCCCTTTGGTAGACATAAACAATTCACCCTAAATATCACGCCACTGTCAATGTTCCCATCAGAGCACTATCCCACGCATAATTGCTGACGCAGATCAAACTTCACTCAATTTTGACTCAAACTCTCTCAAAGCGAAGTTAGCTAAGCGACCGCAACAGTTAGATAAATCAGTTCATATTCGGGAAGCAAATCTGAATGTACTCAACAAAAGTAGCCGTTAGTGAAAATAATAAATTGAAATATTTTTTTTTATAGTAACTTAACGTGTAAAACTCAATTGGCGCAGCCGGTAGGATTCGTCGGGAAAAAGGAAAGATCGCTTAAGGATGATTAATTCCCAAATCTAACGCACAATCGCGATCGAAAGTGTTGTCGGAGTGTAATAAACATTTTCTCGAATACGTATCCGCACAAGAATCTTCGGGTCACTAGTAGTCTAATAACATTGACCCTTTGCGCAATAAAGCTACTACAGTTAATAACGACTGGCTTTGCATATCTTTTGATCCCTGCAATACGTTATTACTGGGTCTTTTTAAGACACACACACAAAAAAAAAAAAACATTTAAACAATAATCCATCACAAACTATAATCTAAAATAAAAGTGCAAAATCAAAGAACAATAAAGTTCAAACCTACAAACTCAAAACTATTTAAAACAAAGAAAATCATCTAACGTGTATTACACCAAGATGACCATGGAATTATCAGAACAACACCTTAACCAGGCCCTTTCACAACTAAGACAGGTGCTTTGCCGGATCAACGGATCATCTAAACGCTTTCATTAAAAGGATCGATTACATCCTACACCTTTATCCAACCCGAGATGTTAGACAACACAGCATCGAGCCATCGAATTGCAAGTCACAGGAGATCCTCAGAGAATTTTACAAAGGACAGCAGCCAACACTTTTCAGGAGCTGAGAAACGCATTGATTGAAGAATATAAAGTGCAGATACCATTTGAAGAACTCCTTCCTTATACAACACGAATTACCAAGGAAACGTTCGTAATTTCATCGAGGATCTCGAAAATAAATCTTTTGTTATATTAACTAAGTTATCATTAGAAAATATACCTAGCAATACGACACTTTATACAAGTGCTATGAATAACACAATCAAAGATGTAATTACAAAAAAAATAACCAGATAAGCTTTTCATGATGTAAGCCAGATACGACATTACGTCGCCACAAAAGCTAAAGCAAGTAGCTCAAAGAGAGGGATTATATGAAAATAGCGTTAGTGAAAACCATAAAAATAATAATGTTCAGGGAAATCAAAATAACAATCGTAGGAACATGGGAAATTATCAGCAAAATGTTAACCCAACCACCCGTTCAAGTGGTTATTCCAACACGAATCAGAATTATCACGCACATAATAAACAGCACAATAAGTCCGAAGACAATCAGAAAACTCACCAACTTTCGAAATAACTCCGGAAATCGCTAATTTCTGAGAAAGATATGTAATGGATTTTTACATAGTAGGAGATAAACAATTTTTATCATGCATTGATATCTATTCAAAATTTGCATCATTAATAGAAATAAAAAGTAGAGACTGGTTGGAAACCAAACGAGTTATATTACAAGTGATCAACCAAATAAAATCAGAAGCTGTAAATATTAATATAACCACTATTAAAAATGGTATATCCGACGTAGAACGATTTCATAAGACAGTTAACGAAAAATTGAGAATCATTAACAGCGACTCAAACTATACTCTACACGTACAATCATAAAACAAAGCACAAAACGACTAACAGAACACCAGCGGATATATTCATATACGCAGGTACACCAGAGTATGACACTCAAGCTAATAAAGAAAAAGTAATAAATAACCTCAACAAAAAACGAACAAATTATGAAATTGACACTAGATACAAACATTCACCATTAGTTAAATCAAAGACGACAACCCCGTTCAAGAAAACAGGAGAACTAAGACAAATGGACGACAAACATTTTGAGGAAACAACAGAGGCAGGAAAATAACACATTATAAAATCAAATTCAAAAAGAAAAAGAAGACTAATCAAAGCAAATATAACAATTACAGGTCAACAACAGACAGCGATCAAAATATAGAAGCACCAGCTTAAACTAATTATTATAATATTACTATCAATAACTTTAAGCCATATAAGAGCACTAAGGATTGAAATTAATCCTATCAAAGCCCATAACGGATATCTCATATTTAAAACAGGAACCATAGACATTCCGACAGATTACGAATTCCACTCTTTAACGGTTAATATAACAAAAATCGAAGAAACGTTTAACAATTTAATTGAACAAAGTAAAGAATTTATTAACCTAATACAAATCGAATATTTAGTAGAAAAATTAACCAGAGAAATAAAAGGAGGTTTAGTTAACATAGTAAATACTTATTTGGAACATTAGATCAAGAAGACATAACAGAAAATGCACAAAAAATAAGCAGCTTAGCAGAAATCAGCGTTCAGGTTAACGAATTAAATCACATAATAGAAGCTATAAACAAAGAAATAGAAATCATGAACGAACTAGATCAAGAGAAACAAAAAGGAAAGAAATTAGATATCCTTATATTTAACTTACAACACTTTACAGAATATATAGAAGACATTGAGATGGGAATGCAGCTCACAAGATTAGGCAGAGAAATCTGAGAAATTGTTGAATACAAAAAATTCCACTTGGTTTAAATCAGATACAAACGAAATACTGATAATATCCCATATTCCTCGAAATAATAAAAAGGCCGGTATTCGAAATAATTCCATACCCGGATGATAATAATAATATTTTGACAGAAATAGCTCATGAAAAATATTTTACTAAAGACAAAAAAGTTTATAGCAAAGAAACAAAAAAATCAATTAATAATGAATGTTTGACAGGAATTTTAAACCAAATAACATCAGAATGTAGTTATACTAAAATTTTGCTAAATTTTCAAACTAACTACGTAGAACCATATATAATTTTAACTTGGAATTTACCAAAAACCATATTAAATCATAATTGTATAAATAACGGAATAAAAATAGAATTGCTCACTGCAAATTAATGAAATTTCAATTTCAAACAAAATGTTAGATTATACTCAACGCATTTACGTAAGCAATGATGTTATAAAATTAAAACCACTTTCGTTTGTACAAACGAAACTTATTATAAATAACATACAAAATTTAACAATGTATTTCAGATAATTACAATAACCATATTTGTAATCATATTAATTGTATTTGACATATAAGTTCAAAAGCATACCTAAGAAATTAATAATAAAATATAAAAATATTAGGAGATACACCAATTGTAAAAGAAGAAAATGTTAAACCTGAGGACAGGCACTTTTCTAATGGTTGGGGGAGTGACATATCCATAGTCGCACCCACCCTTTAAAATAACTTAGCACATAAGCATAAGCACAAGTATAAACACTTTTAATATTGTAAACAAAGAGCCTGGTGATAACATCGACATTGGTCAAGATCAAACTGTCCCCCTTTGGTAGACATAAACAATTCACCCTAAATATCACGCCACTGTCAATGTTCCCATCAGAGCACTATCCCACGCATAATTGCTGACGCAGCTCAGACTTCACTCAATTTTGATTGAAGTTCTTAAGTTGCTAAGCGACTGCAACAGTTAGATAAGCAAATCTGAATGTACTCAACAAAAGTAGCCGTTAGTGAAAATAATAAATTAAAATATATTTTTTTATAGTAACTTAACGTGTAAAACTTAATTATATATACATAAGACTCTCTCTCTCCCGCTTATGCTGATAAGACAAAATATGTATGAAATTAATTATAAAATATAAAAAACCTAAAGTAGAAGAAACACCTACAATAATAGGAGATACACCAATTATAAAAGAAGAAAATGTTACACTATATCCAAACTTAAACACCTTAGGACAGG